GTACCACCAAACGGGGTCGTCGTCGCGCCAAAGGTGAATGGCGTCGATGGCGGAGTCGATGTACCAAACGAAAAGACACCGCTTCCACCAAGCCCCGCCGCCGAGGCCGTTGCAGCAGGGGCTGGCGCCGCACTACCGAAGGAGAAGAAAGCACTGCTTCCAAAGCCAGTCTGCGGTGCTGTAGCAGCAGCGCCACCAAACAGAAAGGGCGTCGCTGGAGCTGCTGGTATCGCTGGTGTCGGTGCAGGTGATGGGACAGGCATCGTGACCTGGCCCTGGCCCGTCGCAACCGACGGTGCACCGCCCAGCCGCGGCGCCGACACCGCGCCTCCATCAAGCACAGGAAAGCGAAAGATCGGCGTTCGAGGCGACGGAGGCGATGGCTGGTCCGTGGACGTCGGCGTCTCGAGCGTCATCGGACAAGTTGAAGCTCGTGCTCGTGGTCCTTGGTCAAAGCTCGACTGCCTGAGCTGCAACGCCTAGTATACACTATTAAAGTCAAATTGAAAGATATAGTGTCATATTGAGGTTTCTCCCAAACCCACTGGCGAGTGAGTGCACGGGGAAGCGCAACCTCTTCACAGTTGTGCAAGAGTCGTATGCACGACGCACGATTGTTTAGGATGACGGCAACTATGGCGAAAGCAGCGACAGGAGGTAGAAGCGCAGCAGCACGCCAATGACTAACATCATTTCCGTGCGACCAGAAGCACACTATTGACAGATTTGCTTCGCCGATCCTCCGACGTTCTCGCATTCGGCAGCAGACCATGGGCTACATTGGCGTCAGTGGGGCTCCGCTCATCCTCATGCTCGGCGACTCGATCACGGAGATCGCATCGGACCCGCGCCGCCAGGGCTTCCAGGCGCAGCTCATGGCCGACTACGTGCGCAAGGCCGACGTCGTGAACCGGGGCATCTCGGCATGGACGACCACGTACATGCCTACCTGCCTGCCATGCCACTGGCCTTCATCACGCATATCGTAGAAAATGGCTGCGCGTGCTTCCCGACCTGATCGCTGAGTGGAAGAACAAGCAGCCGATGCTTGTCGTGATCTTCCTCGGCGCCAACGATGCATCGCTGCCGGACGGTCCATCGCACGCCAGCTACGCGTCGATCGCCGACTACAAGGCCAATTTGCGCCGGTTGATCGCGTCCTTTAGCGACGCGTACCCGCAGTGCAAGTACCTCCTCTTGACGCCGCCGCCTGTCGACAACCGTGCGTGGAGTCCAGCCGATAAGCTCAATGCGGTCACGGCCACGTACGCGGCCGCCTGCATGGACGTCGCCGGCTCGCTCCAGATCCCAGCCATCGACTTTTACACGGCGATGCAGGGGCAATGGGATCTCTTCGCCGACGGCCTTCACTTTAACGCCAAGGGCATGGTCCGTGCGCATGAGATGATCACGGCTGCGATCAAGGACGCGTACCCACACATGACGCCGGCCGCGCTGCCGTACGAATTTCAAATCTAGTCATCGTTCGAGTCTGAGAACGGAATGGCACCAGAGTGTGCCAACTGAAATGGCATTTTGGAATCAGACTAGAATACAAACAAGAGATATAGCGACGACTACTCGATGGGATCGGTCTTGTAGTGAAAATCGCTTCGAGCTCGTGCATGTGGGCCAGCGCGTCGCTGCGGCCCATCTGGAACTGCTCGTACGCCCAGTCCGAGTTGGTCGAGACGAGCACCCAGTGCGGCCAGATCTCGCGCCACGCGCGGATCTGAACACGTGGGATGGGAACGCATCGGCGTGGGGCACGGGCGCGTTGTTCGAGACGCTGCCGTCAATGTACTTTTGGCCGCGAAACTCTTTGATCCAGTCGGGGTGGTACAGCGGCACGTGGCCCGACGTGAGCATGCAGTCGACCATGTCTTCGTTCGATGACCACGACGTGATGAGTTCGTTCTGGAGGCTCGGCACCTTGGTCACCGAGCAGTAGAAGCGCTTGTCTGCGATTTGATAGGCGTCCGGCGACAGCGTCTGGAGCATGTGCGCCTTGGTCAGCGGGATCCATGACCCGAGTCCGTGGTACGTCTTGCGCTTCGCATCGCGGATGAGCGCCATATTGGGCTCGTGGAAAAACGTCTTGACGTCGAGGCCGAGCGCGAGCACAAGCGCGGGAAAGCAGCCGGCAGACGACCCCGAAAAGATCGCCGACGAAAGGTCAAAGTGTTCCTACGCCACCATCCAGCATCCATCGCGATCCGAAGTACAAGTACCTGCACGACCGAGGCGACGCCGAGGAGATAGTTGTAAAAGCCGCCGCAGCCGCCGAAACCGATCTGGACCGGCTCGCCGCGCTTGTAGCTCGGCGTGACCCGCGCTCGCTGCACAATCGGATGCTCAATGGGCGCAGCGCCATGGTTCACTTCGCTGTCGTCGTCGTCGGCAGGCGTCTCGTCCGCCGTCCAGAACATGTCGAGGCAACCGGCGGATGGCAAGAGCGACGGGAGGCGGCCCGCGAGGTGGCGCATGACCTTCCATACGCCAGTCGCCGGCGGCTGGTCGCGCTTGCGCTTGTTGGAGCGCGACGCTTCGGGCGCGTCGTCGGCAGTCCAGAGCGCGTTCATGGACACGACGGCGCAGGAACCTAGCAAGTGACTGCGAAGTGTCACCTGGATCAAGCCGCTGGTTCTAACCGCGCAAGGCCATTGGCCAAAATAATCATGAATATAGTCTTGTGACGTTATTTAAGCCAATCAAAAGCGTGGTCGCCTTCAACATCAGGTGCCGCACCGATTGGCCAGATGATCGATTATGGCCAATCGTCGTCGTGCCTTGTGTTTAGTAATAGCATCTCGGTGAAGTGCGATTCGATTGCATTGCGTTTTGGTATGCACTCGAAAGTCCGTTTGCCGTACTTAAGAGAGCGCAACGACTGAACGACAGTCAAGCCACGAGGAGCAAGTGCAGGAGCCTGCCACGCCCGAGACGCCAATGGATCATGATCTACACCAGACCTTGGATGCTGAATGCTCAAGGAGCTCCATCAAGGCTCTACGGTTCATCAAATAACAGGCCTTTACGTAGCTGGAGCTGTCGCATCATGCTCGTGTTTTTACATCATTTCAGCCAATGGCATCGCGTTGCCGCCGCCGGTCCACGTGTGCAACACGATAGGATCGTTGCGCGTTGGCGAGCTCACTTTTCTCCGAGCCCCTCGCCGCCTCCATCATGGACGCTCTCTGGACCGACGATAGCCGCCCGTCGCACAAGCGCAAGCGCGACGCGAGCGACGACGCCAACCCGGTCTGGAAGTACGTCGCTTCGACGCTCCAGGTGCGATCGTCGCGAATCTGCCATGCGCATTTGACCATATATTTCGCCCGTAGAAGCGAGTGCGTGTCCCGAGCTTTGTGCCGTTTGCGTCGACGCTCAATGCGTTCTGGGTCGGCGATGCTGCGGAGGCGGCGGCTGCGGATGTCGTGGTGCCGCGCCCACTCGGCGTCCGCGTCGAGCCGACGCACGCCCGTGGCGCGACGGTGCAAATCGGCTTTGGCGGCTGTGGCGGCTTTTACAATTACCACTTGGGCATAGCGTCCGTGCTGCAGGTGCTCGTACCATCCGACGACACGCGCACAGGGAGTGACGCGTCGCTGTGTAGGAGCACTTTGACTTGAGAAACTGTGTCTTCTCGGGGGCGTCGGCGGGCTGCTTTCCCGCGCTCGTTCTCTCGCTCGGCCTCGACGTCAAGTCGTTCTTTTACGGCCCCAACCTCACGCTGGTGCAAGATGCGAACGAGAAGACGTTCTACGGCCTCCGCGACTGGATTCCGCTCACGAAGGAGCACGTGCTCAAGACGCTCGCACCCGACGCGTACTCGCGCGTCGACAACAAGTTTTTCGTGTCGATCACGCACGTCCCGAGCCTTAAGAACGAGCTCGTGACGAGCTTCACGTCAAACGAAGACATGGTCGAGTGCATCCTCGCGTCGGGGCACGTGCCTATCTACACCAACGAAGTTCTCAAGCCGTACCGCGGGCAAAAGTACGTCGACGGCTGCGTCTCCAACAACTGGCCCGTGCCGCACGGCGACGACCACCCGTCGCACGTCTTTCAGATCTACCACTGGCGCACGATCTGGCCGCATTGGTGCCTCATTTCGACCAACACGGAGTGGGCCCAGACGCAGTTCCAGTGGGGGCGCGACGATGCGCTCGCCCATATCCACGAGCTTGAAGCGCTGCTTCACTACAAGAGCGAAGCACACGAGTAGACTATAAATCCGTTGCGTGGAATGGCATGTCAATATTGCAGTGGCGTCGCATGTTTCTCTTTCTACATTACATGTCCAAGTAGCCATGGGGCGTAAAGTCAATGACGCCCTATGCACTCGTGTCAATGCACACAGGAAGAGGAGGAGGCCCGCGTCTACCTGCTGGCTCAAGTCCAAGACGCGTGTCGTCATGTCTTCGTCGAGCTCGCACTGGACGGCGATCGTGCGCGTGAGCGGCACGCCGCAAGTGCACACCTTCTTGAGGTTGCCGCACGTGATGCACTTGTAGTTGGCCGGCTGGTAAGGGCACACGTGGCCCTTCTTGGGCTCGCCGCAGCGCGAGCAGCGGTAGTTGCCGCGGTTGCGCTTGTCGGTCTCGGCAGTTGTCTCGTCGGCGCCGGGCATGTTCATGCTACACCCGGCGAGGTGTGAGTGACGTGGGAGAGATGGCAGTGCAATCCTTGCCCACTGCTCGAATGGTATTTCGAGCATTAAAAACAATAAAAAGCAATGCGTCAATGAGGTGCTTGACCGAGGCAGGCCTTGAGCGAGAGACGCCTGCATTGCAAATATCATTTGCCTTGTCACTTCATAGCAAGGAACGATGCAGTATGCTGTGCATCGTGAGCGGGCACAAGGTATGGTGGTCAATCAAGCGCTTTTTAATGCTCGAGCTTCATGGCAAGCTAGCAAATGGTGCCCCGGGGTCCACCAGCTGGGCGTCATGGAGAACGGCCCTTGGGACTTGACTGCTTTCCGAAGCGTTTGCTCTGCCTGCACCAAGGGTGCTCTTGGCCCACACTTCCATCCCACGCACGCAAAACACTAGTTGAATTACTACTCCATAAATACAGCTCATGGGTTCTCGACATCGGCAATCCGGGGCTCGACTTCAAGGGACCGCGTGAAGCAAATGTCCTTGGTCGCGAGCTGCAGCGGCGCCGAGAGGTTGTCCTAATGCCTCATGAGCATCGTCTGTTGCGATACATGAATATTGTCCTCGTACCAAGAGCCGCTTATCGGGACTAAAGATGTACGGTGTCTTTTGGCACGGCACGACGAGCCGCACCACGTTGGCCGTGAGGCGGATCTGTCAAGGGTTAGGTGGATGTTCAAACGTTGTCATGTCGCACACCTTTTTAAAGTTGATGAGGTCGTTCTGGACGTGGTCCGGGTACTCTTGCGCGACAACGTATTGCTGGATGATCAAGCCCAGGTACGGAATGGAAGGCACGGCGACCTCTTTGATGAGCTTGTGCAGCGGCCTATCAATCGAATGAAATTCTCGAGCGACTTTGTACGAATACAAACCGAGCGCCCTTCTCGGTCCACTTTTTGAGCTCTTGCCAGAGCGTGCGCACGGCCGGCGGCAAGCGACCCCACGTCTTCTTCAAGCGAAAGACCGACGAGTCGTTGAGCGCGTTCATGATGGCCATAAAGCCGTCATAGTTGCGCAGAGGACTGAGGCACTTGCCCGCGACCTAGACGACCGCTACTGTTCATCGTCGTTGCATAGTACAGTCTATCGCACCTTGATGTAGTAGCTGAGGATGGCTGCACGGTCGACGACATCTTCGCGTGCCAGAATCTGGTTGACGACCCAGAGTGAGCACTAGACAAAACCCTTACATAACCACAGCGATGAGAGCCAAAACGCTTTACGTGGTTGTGCAAGAGCCGGAGCTTGTCGTACGCCGGCGTTGTCGCGGCCGATCGCTTGGCACAGAGAAGCTCCGAAACTATAGAAAGGTCAGCACCCCGTAGCAACACAAATCCAGTCCGACTCGGAATCTTTTGGAAAAACCAGTGCTGGAGCAACGAGATTTGAGACGCGACGAGACCCGGATCAATGTCGAGTTGCCTGCACACGCCCCGAATCCGACTCAGATCTCAGATCTCAGATCGCACTGGACGTACCAGAGTCGCGCGACGCGATCGAGGACCGAGAAGCGGCGCTTGGACGTCGGTGCAACAACCAGCACCTTGCTGTCGCGGTTCGCTCCTGTCTCGGGCAGCACGCCCGCGATCGCGAGCCGCTCCCGCATCTTCTCGGCGAGGTGCTCCGCCGACGGCGTCGTCGTCTTGAGCGCCCCATTCGGAGCGTCCAGAAAGGCCAAGGTCGCGGTCGTCGTTTCAAAGTACGTTGCGAGCGCGCTGTAGTCGCGGTCGCATGGCGCGGTCGTCGCCAACGTCGGGTCTTCGTTCTTACACGCTTTGACAAAGAGCGCAATCTGGCGGTACGTGAGCCACTGCAGCACGAGCGGGTCATTCTGGACGATCGCGGGCAAGAGTGCAATCACCACATTCGAGATCGCATGGCAGAGCGGCCACGTCGACGGCATCTGGCTCTGCAGATGGTTGACCCAAATGTCAAGCGTGTAGAGCACGACGCGGCGCGCAAACGACACATGGGCGTCCGGTGCGTCGGCCACAAAGGTCTAGCAAAATATTTCGTTGGTACCATCTTGATACAAAATTGATGCTACGGACCTCGAGGAAGCGCAAAATGGCAGTGTAGTCGGTAAAGTGCGTGCCGGCCCAGAGAAAGCTCTCCATGTCTGTCGCATGAAACACGTCGTACTGCACGAGGTGCGAGAGAATCGCAGACACCGTCCCCGCTTGAAGCTCTTCCTTTCCGTCAACCGTCGTCTCCACAATGAGGTCCGTGGCCGCGTCGCCAACAACGACGAGCGCCGTCGACGTCGGCGGGCTGCGACTGAGCTCGTCCCGCTTCGAAGAATCCGCCTTGTCCGGGGACGCACCTACGTCATGGCAGCATACATGTGCAGGTCGATCGTCGACTTCAGTTTCTGTGTACCTCCGAGAAAGGTCGGCTTGGGCTCGAGGAGGGACCCTTGGAGCGAGAGCAGGAGGCTTCCGCGCTCGAGACGGCCGGGTGCAATCGCCGTCGGCGCCGTCACGGCGGTTTGGCTTGTAATCTCAAAGTACATGGCCGCCGTCTTGCCCGTGATATCCGGCGCGTAAATGTCAACGTCGGGGTAGCTCTTGAGAAAGTGGTACACGTCCAACCCGCCATAAATGGCTGCGTAGTGAATGGGCTGGCGGTACATGTTGCAGACGTCGCGGACGTTGGCGCGCTCGCTCAGGAGGAGGCGCACCGTGTCGAGAACGGCGGCCGTGTCCTTCTGCACGTACCCGCGCGTGATGAGCTGGCCGCGCGCGACTGCCATCATGAGGGGCGTCCAGCCGTCGTTCGAGCGCGCGTTCACGTCGGCCTTGCCTTCCGACAAGAGCACGCCGCAGGTCGTGAGGCTCGCAATGCTGGCTGCAAAGTGCAACGGCGTCTCGCCGCGCAGCGAGCGCAGCTCCGTCTCGGCGCCATAGTCGAGGAGCGCGGTCGTGACTTCGGTCTGTCCTTCCTGCGCAGCACACGCGAGCGCGCAGCAGCCGCGCTGCCAGTTGCGCGAGTTGATGTTGAGCTGCTTCCCGACCTCGACGAGCGTATCGACGCCCTCAAGACAGCCCTTGTGCGCAAGCAGCATGAGCGGCGTAAAGCCAAAGTGGTCGACTTCATCGATCGCGGCCCCATGGCGCACGAGCTTGAGAATGATCTGCCGGACTTTGTCCGGGCTCATGGACGCAACTTTGACGCTCACTTCTTGGGACGGCCCGTCAATGAGCGCGCAGGGGGCGCCGAGCAGGTGCAGCGGGCCGCGCCCATGGGGGCTCAGCACCTTGGTTTTGGCACCGTGCTGGAGCAGATACGACACCACGTTGACGTGGAGGCAGCTCACGGCGATGTGCAGCGGAGTCGTGTCGTCGTCCGAGATGTAGTTGACTTCGGCGCCGTTGGCCAAGAGCATTTGGACGCTCCCGACTGCACCGCGCTGACACGCCTGCATGAGCGCCACGTTCCAAAGCGACTTGTTGGTGCTAAGGATCTTGACGTAATTCGGGTTGGAGATGAACGCCATGTGAAAAGGCGGCGCCGATGCGTTGAGGAGCCCGACCACGTCGTTAAAAGGCCTACACAATGTATATAGATATCCATTTATAAAGATACACCGCATACCAGAGCACGACGTTGGTGCCGTTGAGCGACACGAGCACGTGGCCTTTCGAGACGAGGCCGCCAAACGCCGCTTGGCCGTGGGCGGTGATGTTCTTGACCATGGCGCCGCAGCGGTACGTCGACTCGGGTTCGAACCCGAGCCCCATGCGCCAGTCGCCGTCCATCGAGAACGCGACTTGCTCCTTGAAGATGTCTTCGAGGACCGCGGGGATCGTCACGTTCTGGACAAAGTCCATGGCGGCCACGAGGATGGCCATCGCCGACGCCGAGTGCACGTGGGTAAACCGGGTCTCCATGTGCATCTCGTGGAGCAGCTGCTTGAGCAAGAGGAGGTTCTCGAGCCCCGAATTCACGAGCACAAACGTGAAGATCGGGATCAAGTCGTCCGTGTCGAGGCGGTTGGCGATGCCCGGCACGAGCGAGTTGAAGCCACTGCCGTCGGCGCTCGTCGCGGCTTGGTACATGAATTCGGGCGCCGGATGGTCGTCTTGGTACGACGCCTGGATCTCGACGACCGACTCGACAAGCGCGTGGTACTTGTCGGACGGCAGCGAGTACGTCGCGACTTGGCCGAGGATGCGCGAGGCCTCTCGCCACTCGGTGGTCGAAAGCTGGTGCTGCGGAATGTCGTAAAACGCTTGGTCTTTGCCTTGGAGCCAGCGCAGCTTCTTGTTGAGGGCTGCCTCGTGCTCGGCTTTGATGCTGCGGCGCAAATGGCTGTAGAGTCCGTCGTGTAAGGGGAGAAAGACGACTTCTTCGACGTGGCGGTGGATGCAGTGGTGCACCGACTCGAGCGCGTCCGCCTCCGACTCAAAGTGGTCGAGTACGAGCGCCACGAGGCCGTGGGCGTACTTGTGGATCACGGTCGAGCGCATGCTCGCGATAAAGTCACGCAGCGCGCTGAACGCGAGCGACGACCGCGCGTCGAAATGCTTGACAAAGGCCATGCACTTGCTCGCCTCGGGGTTCTTGGCGTCGCCCTGTTCCTTGCATGGGTAAGAACGCACGTGTATGGAAAGAAATGGAGACACGTACAAGGATCTTGCGCAGCTCGATAGCCACCTTGGCGTCCGGATCGTCGTCGAGAAGCAAGCCGGACGAGAGGCGCAGCGGTGCGTGGTTCTGGCTCGGCGTCGACAACGGGTGGTTGGCTGCAATGACGTCCTGGAGATGCACGACCCAGCGGTTGCACTCCTCGTCGTCCTTGGCTTGGCACACGAGGACGTTGAAGCCTTTCACGAGCTCAAAGCAGTGTGGACGTTTGGACTTGCGGATGTCGAGGAAGCGAACAGAGGTGCTGGCGTCGTCGAGCGCGATCTCGCCCTTGAGGCGCCCAAAGCGATGGCTCTTGTAGTACTGGAGGCACGAGAAAGGTTCGCCCGTAACCGGATTGCTCTTCATGAGCAGGACAAAGAAGCGCTTCTTCCAGCTTTTCCAGATGTTGCCTTGCTTGACGAGCCAGCCCGAGTGGATGAGGTTCCCCGTGCGGGACGGCGAGCTGGATGTGAGCGTCGACTGCGATTGCGCGCGCGGGAGGCGCGTGCTGCTACCATGGCGCAGCATGCGTGGTGGTGGTGGTGGCCCCAGAATGACGTCGTCGACCGAGTCGTCGTCGTCCATGTCGCTGTCCTCCATGACGTAGATGGCGGTCCGCGACGTCATGAGAGCCGACGGCGTCGGGACGCTCATGAGGCTCAGCCGCGAGTGATCGACGTCCAAGCTCAGCCGCGCGTCCGCGCTCTCCTGGCGGAAGAGCATGCGGATGTCTCCGCGGAGCGGGCCCGACGAAGGAGGCGTCTCGCTCATCGCTAAGAAATGCAGAATAAACCTGAAATATTCGCAAATGTTTCCAGCTGGCGGTAGGCTATTCGCACGCAAATACTTCCTCCCACGCCCCGCACATCGTCCAGTGGGCGGCATCCAGCGCGCAACAGATTGCGTTCATAAGATGCTACGGCCACGTGCCGGGTTGCACATGCTTCCAAACGTTGCGACGGTACGCAAACGAGCCTCGTCCTAGGAACGCGACGCGCGCAGTTGCGTGTTTTTGGTCCAGTGAATTATAAAGACAGTGTCAAAGTTGCACCGACTCCATGGAGTCACCCTCGTCGTCACGCCGCCGTCCATCGATGGCGCAGTCGTAGCAGCAAACGAGCAAGATCGAAGCTAGCGCCTGCAGCCGTACGCACGGGCTTGTGCCCATGACATCGATCCGCCATGGTGCGCAGGACGAAAAGTAGCCACTGCAACGAACGGCGGGTCGTCGAGTAGCTTAGCCCACCGGCTGCAACCGTGATAGCATAGCCCAGCAGCGCATTCTGGCCCGAAAGCAGTACCAACTCTAGCAGTCGCCGTCATGGACGAGCTCGCCGCCATCGTTGGCGTGGCCATTCGTTGCTGGTGGATGCCTCAAGTTCAACGTCCGGCGCCATCTGAGTCGCATCGGCACTTGCCACAGAGCGGCCGCGCCTGAAAGTGAACGACCAGCGCTTGCAAACGTTGAATGGACTTGTGGGGCATGTGCTTCTTCGTACGCGTGGTCAAGCGAGGCAGCGTGGTCCGCCGCTGGACGCGCTGCATCGAGCTGCGACTCGACATCACCCTTTTTTGTCATCGCCATACGTGGCGGTTTCTAGCGCGTGCAAGATATCTTTTTGGGGGCGAAAGGCCGTAGTAATAGTATGGACGAGCACGACGTGCCCGAGAACCAAGCGGACGATGGCGAGCGCGACCCTGGCAACGATGACGAGGACGAGGACGAAGGCCGCGAGACGGTCGGGTCCTTGGCGACGACGCAGACCAAGATCAAGCTCAACAAGATGATGAACGCGTTCGCTTCGTTTGACGACAACATGCGCATTGGCACGCGCGTACGCTGCGCCTCGGCGGTACCTGGTCTTATGGCGGGCATGTAGCAACGGCGGGAGCGGGACGAGCACCGGCTCGCCGAGATGCGCACCGAGATGACGCGGCTCGAGAAGGCGCTCAACGCCGAAATCAAGCGGCGCTTTGAAATGAACAAGTCGCTCCAAGCGCTCTGCGACGAGAGCGTGTCAAGCATGACATCGCGCTTCGAAGGCCTCCTCGCCAACTCGATGGACAAGGTCGACGCGCGCCTCGCGGGCCTTGCCGAGAAGATTGAGGCGCTCGAGGCGCAGTTCGAACACGAAAAAGTGCACATTCCGCAGGTACCTTGATGCGATGGGACGTCGCGATGCTAAAGAAAGGCCGTAGATGATTGAAGAGCGCACGAACGAGCTCACGGAGAAGCTGGGCGCGTTCATGGATGCGTTCGAGACCGAGCGCAAGCGGCGACTGGACCGCGAAGCCGAGATCCTCAAGCGACTCTTCGACCACGAGCAGCTCGTGGCCGACCAGTTCTCCAAGGAGCGCCGGGACCGCGAAGTCAAGGCAACCGAGCTCAAGGACGCGCTCGACATGTACACCAAGACGCGGCTGCGCGGCGACGACAAATTTCAGCACGTGGCGCAGGAAGAAATCGCCAAAATCCAAAATCTCCTCGTCCACGAAGCCCAGGTAGATGTTCTCATGCGGCACCATCTTGCTTACATGGTGGTAGACACGCGAGCGTGAAGACGACGAGATCATCGATGCGCTCAATCGGTACACGGCCAAGCTCCAAGACAGTCTCAAGCTCATCAACAGCACCGAAGCCTAACCCGCCTCAATGTCACTGGTTCCTATATATGGTTGTACAACTTGTGCATACATTTGATTCCGCTCGTCAAAAGAGGCGGCGGCCTTTCACAGCGGTGCCACGGGGCGTCGCCGCATCCGTGACCTCGTCTTCGACAAAGGAGGTTGCACGCCGCTTGCGGGTGGCGCGCTCGGGCGGTGTCACGAGCGGGAGCAAGTTGGCGTCCAGCGGCAACGGTGCCTCTGTAAAGTACGGGTGTGTTAGCGCGGCCGCGGCCGAGACGCGCTGCGTCGGGTCGAGCGTCACGAGCTGGGTCGGGAGATCGACGCCCGCCGGTGACAGCGTTGGAAACTGCGCAGCAAGCGACGGCGGCGACGTCGGTGCAAACTCGAGGTAAAAGGGCAGCGAGGCGGCCGCCTATTACCTCATTACAGCGCACCAAGAGGGTGGAGCTTGTCGTACATGCCACTTGTTTTCGATGGGATTTCCAAGCGCCTTGAACATGAGACTGAGCTGGTCAATGTCGGACGCACCGTCGAGCCACACGCGACGCAAGAGGAGCTCGGCGAAGACGCAGCCCGCCGACCACATGTCGACGGCGCTCGTGTACGTCTTGAGGCCAAAGAGCAGCTCGGGCGGCCGGTACGCGCGCGTGACGACCTGAAAGCTCTTCTCGAGCGACGCGTCCGGGGCATAAATGGCCATGCCAAAGTCGGCAAGCATGACATTTCCAGATGGCGACAACAAGACGTTGTTGGGCTTGATGTCGCGATGGATGACGTGACGCTTGTGGCACTCGGCGATACCTTGTAGCACCATGTACATGTAGCTCTTGATCGTGGCGGACGAGAGCTGCGGTAGGTCGTCCGTGGCCTTGATCACCGACTCGAGGTCGCTCTCCATGTACTCAAAGACAAGGAACGTGGCCTCCTCACCATGGTGCGCCTGACGCACCACCTCTTTGATCTGCAGCACGTGGCGCGCTGATGTCAGCCGCGCCATGATCGTCGGCTCGTCGTCATGGGACGATGTGGCCGGCGAGCCAAAGAGCCGCTTCACCGCGACCTTCTCGCGCGTCTCGGTGTGCGTGGCCACGTAGACCTTGCCGTACGTACCGCGGCCGATCTCTTCGCCGAGCTCGTACTTGCCGACGACGATGCGCTCGTCCTCCGAGTCCGAGTCGAACTCGCCCATGCTGCTGCTGCTATTGTTGTTGCACTGGATCCGTGGCAACCTCCGGTTATAGATTGGTTTACCGGATGATTCATTTTCGGCATATGCCATGTTTAACAGATTGCGTGTGGCATCTCCGAGCATTCTGCTCGCCATGGCCGTCCCCAGAGGCTAAAAATGTGCTGCGTCGTGCTGCAGGCTCGTGCTACTTTAACTCTCAGTCCATTCAATTCCACGAAGACGACGAAGCGGCATCCACCGCGAACTCAAAGCCACGTCAACGTAGGCGTTTGCAGCTTTTGAAGTTTTAAAACTATCAAAACGCTACAAGTCGATGCTTCTATATTTCCGAATCCACTCGCAATGCCAGTTGCAACCCTGGCTGCAATTATCCTTCTCTTGCTTGTAGATCAGCAAGCGCATCAACAGCAAGCCTTGCGAAACCTGCAGCTTAAAGTACCGCTCGTAGTGACACCACTTCACACGTGTGCTCTACACTACGGTGGATTGACTCGATTGTAGATTAGTTAGATTTACATGTTAAGCCGATAAATTCGTGAAAGTGCAGTACAAATTGGTGCCCTTAGCGTTTTTGGTGGTTGATAAAGCGCAGCGCGAGGTATGCAAGGAATCGGAACACGACGATGCAGCCGAGCACGACGAGGATGTTGGTGAGCGCGTCGTCGTAGTACATTTCGTATGTGTGCTCAACGTACTGCTTGACGGTCACACTCGTCGCGTTCATTTTCAAGAGCAGAATCGGCGGCACGTTCTTCATCGTCTGGCACCCGAGCTGCGTCGGGTCGTCGCCCGTGCACTTGGCAAACGTCTGCGCCGTCAGAATCGCCATCGAGTACTTTGGCGGCACGATCGTGTACAGCCAGCGGTACCCGCTCGGAATCTGCGACGCGGTCGGCGTAAAGCCCATGAAGAGGAAGAAGATCGAGTTGAGGAGGATGCCGACAAGGGCCGCGACCTCGATCGACGGCATCGCGTACGCCATCAACTGGCCCATGTAGACGTTCATCAAGACCATGAGCGAGAGGTTGAAGCCGTAAAAGAGGCACGCGCCGACCGACTCGTTCAGACCCACAAACGGGTAGTAGACGATCACAAAGGCAAACGTGCATACGATAACGTACGGGATTTCCGCCAGCGTCGAGCCGACAAAGTACCAGAGCGCATCGTACGTCTCGGCCGCGCGCTCGCGGTAGAACGACGCGCGCTCCGAGCCTGCGAGCGGAATGACGCTGTTGAACGAGATCATGCCCACAAAGAGCGACGTGAGGAAGACCATGCCAACGCCGCCGGTCGCGCCCGAGAACGTCGTGTAGTCGACGCCGCGGTAGACCAAACCAAAGAGGACGGCGAGGAAGATTGAGATGAGGATGCGCGTGTTGTTGTACGACGCCGTGCGCCAGTACATGCGGAAGAAGCGCTGCGTCACCATCGTGAATTGGGTCATGGACGTCGCCGCACGCTTCGAGGCAAACGTGAGCTCGGGCAAGGACGGATTCACGACTCCATGGACGGCAAGCGCATCCAGGAGCGCTTGGCGCTCGACCGAGCTCTGAAAGATCTGCACATAGTCCTTTGGGTGGGCGTTCTTGGCTTCGACACCGGCGCCAATGACCTCGAGCATCCACGTGGCGGGGTTGGCGCCTTCGAGTAGCGGCGGCGTGTCGGGCACTCGACTAAAGTACTGGATCAAATGGCTCGCGTTCGGTCCAAGGTCACCAAAAAAGACCGTATGACCTCCGCGCTTGAGGAGGAGGAGCGAGTCAAACATCTCAAAGACCTCGGTGGACGGCTGGTGGATCGTGCAGACGACCGTGCGACCTGTCGAGGCGATCTTGCGGATCCCCGTCATGATGATCTTGGCCGAGCGCGCATCCAGGCCGGACGTCGGCTCGTCCAAGAAGAGCACAGACGGGGCCGCCGCGAGCTCGACACCGATCGTCAAGCGCTTCATTTGCTCCACCGACGCGCCGCGGATGATCTTGTCGCCGAGGGCTTGCATGCCGAGAAGCTCCAAACACTCTTCGGCAAATGCCATTTTCTTCGTCACTGACGTGGCACTCGCCTGGCGCAGCATCGCGCTAAACTGGAACGCCTCCCGGAACGTCGCGCTCTCGCAGTGAATGTCCATCTGCTCGCAGTAACCGGTCGCGCGACGCACCGCCAGGTCCGTGGCTGGGTACCCATTCAAGAGGATCTGCCCCGTGATCGTGCCGCCCGTCTTGCGCCCAGCAATGACATCCATCAAGGTCGTCTTGCCAGCGCCCGACGAGCCCATGAGCGCCGTGATCGTTCCCGGTAACGCATAGCCGTTGACACTCTGAAGCAGCTTCAGGTCGGGCTCACCCTTTGTAGGGTTGGGCACCGAGTACGAGAGGTCTTTAAACGCTAGTGTGACGGGCGCGATGGCCCCTCGGGGGCTGTCGTCGACCCGCACTGAGACGGCGTGCGTCGGTGTCTTGGGCACCGCGGTGTATGTATCATTGGCCTCTGGCTCGAGCACGATCGGCGCGTGCTCGGCGCTGTCGTACTGCACGTACTCGAGCGTCAGATACGCCAAGAGCATGAAAAAGACGTAGCAAAACGCGAGGTAGATCACGGCGTACCAGACCCAGATCATACCAGATTTGACACCGTACTGTTTGAGCTGTGCATTGCCAAACGTGTCGCCGAGAAGGGTGCAGTAGTCGATGCCCTTGTAGTTGCAGACTTGAAACTCGGGCGCCGAGTATTGGTTGACGGCCAAGGCGCGAATGCACCACGCGAGTGGATCGATCCAGTAGATCCAGATAAAGTACGCGGGCATGTCATCGGCCGACATGATAAAGCCCGCAAAGAGTACAAAGAGCAGCACCGACACCATCGCGACGGGCTGCGCAACGTTGGGGTTGGGTGACAGCGCCGCGACAAAGAAGAACCACGTCGTGAACGCGAGGTTGGTCACGAACAGCAGGAGGAGGTACGTGAGGAACGACCCGACATTCGAGGTGAAGCCTGTGACCCAGTACATGACCGAGCCGAAGAGGACCGTCTCCAGAAACGCAAACGGAATCTGCGTCGTGCACTGCGCCAAAATGAACGACGAGGTCCGGAAAAAGTTGGCGCGCTTTTGCTTGTAAAAGATTTCCCGCGCTTCAACATGGCCAGGAATTGCGGGCAATTGACCGAGCGCGAGGAACATGACGGTCGTGAAGATGACGCCGAGGACGGTAATGATCTGGTCGGCATCAACTTGGTAGAACGACGTCGAGTAGAGGAAGCCCATGAGGAGCACCATGATGATGCGACTCAAGACAAACTCCTTGTTGCGGAGAAAGACCGTCACTTGGCGCCGCACGAGGAGCCATGAGCTCTGTCCAAACGAACCAAAGTACGCGGGCAGCAACGCGAGGTGGTGCGTCACGTCGTACGCGAGCGCGTCGTTCGTCGCCGTCGAGTTGACGTACTGCAACATGCTCGCATAGATGGCCGACGCTTCAAAGACCGCCGCATACTCGCTCGGGGTACGCGGGACGGACAGATCCGCCGCCGCAACGCGGTACTGGTCCTGCTGCGGCGTGCCGAGGTCCAGTAGGAAATCTGCCACGTCACGGTGCGCCGGGCACTTGAAGCCGAGCGACTCAAAGTACGCCAAGCACGTGGCGCGCGGACCATGGTACATGACGTAGCCTTCGTTGAGGAGGAGGACGTCGTCAAAGAGGTTGTACACTTCGGGGGACGGCTGCAAAAGTGCAATCACAATCGTCTTCTTGAGCGACGCGGCCATGCCTTTCTGCGCCTTGACGATATCGTACGTGGCCGCGGCGTCCAGGCCCGTGCTGATCTCGTCCATGAACGACACCTGCT